CCCGGCTGCTTTTTGTGTCCCGTTCGCCGCTCCGACGGGAGCTGCCGGCTCCTGCTCATCGCCATCGGAGCCTTGGACTTCGTCTTCTGCACGCCCCTCATGCTGCTCTTCAGCCTGACCCTCTTCCTTAGAGTCAAGTGCAGCTCCCAAAAGCTCCAGACGGGCAGGCTCTTCACCGTCATCATGCTCACCATCCTCTTCTTCCTCATTTTCGCCGTGCCTCTGGGCGTCCTGATCTTCTTTGACTTCTTGGGTTACAAGTTCCTCTACTCCCCGGAGATCGGCTTTGTGCTGTCCTGCGTGAACAGCAGCCTCAACCCCGTCATCTACTTCCTCGTGGGGAGCTACAGGGAGCGGAGAATCAAGTTCACCCTCAGGCTGGCATTCCAGAGGGCCTTTGAAGATTCAGCAGATGACAAAGAGGAACGGGAAACCCGTGACACAATAACTATGTCCTCCTAACACCCTGCTGTGCCTAACACAGTAATACTGGTCTGGAACTGAGGGCTGATAGTTTACCGAATCGAAGAACTCTGAGGTATTGGGGAAGGCTTTTCTCTCATGACTTTCAGTATTTTCATGGTAGATCTCTACTCATCACCTAGTTATTTTAAGCTCCATCTGTGGTCAGTGAAAACATATATGCACCTGGACCACAGAATTTATCTGACGTGTATTAGGACCACACTGAACGTGCCTATTTCTTTTCAGTGGCCATTAAATGATTTCAATATGATAAGGTAAAACGTCTTGGTGTCTGCATTTTATCAAAAGAATCCCACTCAGAATTTGCAGCTCACTCAATAAATCTCTGTCTTTCAAAGCACAACAATATCAAATTCATAAATTCTCAGGCACAAGTCTGTCCATCTCACTCGATTTTAAATACCTGTATCTCAGCAACACATGCAACCTTTTGCAGCTCACAGAGTGCATGATTCTTTGCTTTCTAACATAAGCATTTCAAATAGTGAAGTGATTCATGCCCTAGAAGTTCCTTTCTTCTATTACCTTGGGAGGTTTCCATACCAAAGAGTTGTGATGTAGTTGAAAAGGGCTCCAACCCCTACCAGCTTGCCTTACAACTTTATGCACTGAGTTGCATGCTCCCTTTTCTTGCGTTTCAAAGAAATACGGGGGTGGAGTCGCATATTATTTTAGCTTCCTCCAGCCCAGGACAGAGTATCTACATCTAACTACAGCATGCACTGGGTTGTTATTTCTTCCTTTAAGGACAGATGAGAACCTATGGCTTCTAACATCTCCTCTACCAATAGAAATAAATTCAAGGATAGGGAAAAAATAGGAAGCAGAAGAAAGGTAAATAAATACTACAATTTGCAACAAATTATTCTCTAAACCCAAGCCCTTGAGATGCAAGATGTGATTATTTGAAGTGTTGTACTACCAGACTACATAACATTTGCTCTTTTAACCTAAATTGATAGAAGAAGGCAACACAGGTAATTTTCTTTGAGAAACCTTATGGATTTCCTCTTCATGCCTTCATCTGCAAATATTTTCCTAAAGGCAAGATGCATTCTTCTATTGTCAATTACCTTTTTTCTGTTCATTTGTCTTCTTATTAATTTTGAAAAGCACCACTTAAAAAAATAGTGGTTTACCCTAATGTCTGTAGTTGCTTTTTGCTTCCTGTTTACAGTTTCTGAAAGCTGAAATTTGAGTTCCATTTCTACTATTCTTTAATTTTTAATGCTATTGTTCTGCAATGCACATATAGTTGATTCAGATTAGGTCTATGTCATTAATTAATTTTAGTAAGTTTTTTTTCATCTAACTTCTACTGCTGAGGGCAAGAGAGTATCCGTTTATCAGAAAACATGTTAAAAATGTTTTCTTTTTAATATTTGTAATGATTTTATCACTGGGAGAACTGAAACATTTCCGTTGTTATTAAAAATATCAAAAGCCTTTTTTTAAAAGGAAAACAAATTGTATTTAAAAACATTATTGTGCTCGGAAGAAGCCATCAACTGATAAAAACATACAGAATATAAACTGTGACAAACTTTCCATCCTGACAGCTTGTCCTTAAACGTACCCATCATGAAGACATGCAGCATTTAATGTGAACACATTTTACACATCACATTAATGTGAACACTTTACATCCAACTTTGGACATTTAAAAGGTGATGCCTGCATACAAACTACCATCTCAGACACTCTCAGTCATCCATGGTAAAAGACAAGGATTCTCAGGGGCGGCATCTGCCAGATATTTGCAGTGTATCTCCCGTGGTCCAAAAGAAGTCAGAGATAGGATCTGCAAGTCGCAGGCTTTTCCACCCTGAACTAACACCAAGGTAGTCAGCCCAGCCTGCCAGGGAGAATGACCGCAGCATCTGAACTAAGTTTGTCCTCTGAATTGCTCAGTATCTCTCTGGGAGGATGCCAGGGCATCCAGAAGATCAGCGGTCACGCGTGAGCAGGGTACGTTCCTGGGGGGCCACCAGCACCCTGACAAAAGCCCACATTTCTGCTTCCCTGGGGACAGCTGAAAGGAGACAGGCAGCCCAGGCCGTAAGTGTTGAGTGTGCTCCTCAACGTGGTCCACGTGCCAGCGGCACGCGGTGCCTGCAAGGGATGGTGTCACCTCTTCCCCAAGGGCAGCAAACTGAACTCCACTCCTCTGAGGAGTCCCTAGACACCAGAGTCTGAAATAATCTTGATTTTCTCATTGATTTCAGCAGAAGGCACACACATTACTGTTGGTGTTTCTGTGGTGCAGTTAAAGCCTGGATGAAGGGATGTGTATGGACATGTGGACGCTTCAGAACAGTCCGGTTCTCACCACATGCAGGAGAGTGAAGGACTCTCCGGTGCCTTGATTTTGTTCCTTTTCCCACGCCTCTGTGCCCCGGTAGTTATCCCCAGCCTCCCCTTCAAGCAACTACCCCATTCTCCATTCCAAGAGCTCCTACAACAACCAGCCCACTTCTCTCCCTCACCCCAGCCTACCTGAGACACACCTCAAAGGAGCAGCCTTCCCCTCGCAGCCCTCCCCAGCATCAGCTGCCAAATTCCTCCTTCTCCACCTTTCACGGAGATGTGGCTTCGTGCCACAGGAATGAACGGGCAGCAGGTAGTAAGAGAGAGAAGACTACGTCCTTTTTGGAAGAGGAGAGCCAGGGTCAGCTAATTGGAGGCAGAAGGAGGGGCAAGCGCCTCTAGACAGCTTTTTTTTTTTTTCACTATTTAGATGTTGCATCAACTCACAGCCAAGTGGTGTCTTACAACCCACAGAGCAACTTGGGATCGGGCACAAAGAAGAGCAGAGGAGGTACAACCGCGCAAACAGGCTTTGGCAGGACTTGCTGGGGAGACCTGAGATGCGTTGTAGAAACCCCACGTTAGGCTCTACAGGTTGTATGCTTTAAAAGCTTAACCGCCAAAACCAGTCACCCATTCATACCCAGGCCAGAAAAAGACAGCAGGTCAAAGCAAGTGTCCATAGGCAAGAAGCTGCAGATAAAGGACTTAGTCTGATCCTAAGCTCTGTTTAATTTGAACTAAGAGAGGTGACAAAGTCAGGTAATCGCATCACCAAATTTGGATCAGGTCTGCTCAAAGGCAACTCCCGACTGCAGAGGTGGAGAAAGACCCTTGCTTCTTCACAGCGTGACACCCGAAGGCTGAGGGACATTTGTCCCCCTGGAGCCAACACGTGCCCATTTCAAAACTTATACAACCACATTGTTAAAACTCCTTTCCTCCCCGTCCGTTCTGTAAGTGACACACAGCAAGTTTATTTCCTGTGTGCAGTATTTCCGTTAATTGCTATGAATAAACTGCTGTGTTTACTATCTTTCTAAAGTCCCCTTCAGCTCAGCCTTTTAAAATACTTTATTTCTCTGGGGTCAGAGGTGAGCCATGAGTCAGCAAGGAGCTGCAACAGCCCTGTGCAGTTTGGACAGGCTCCAGCTATCAGCAGGAGAAAGAAATAGGCACCTTTTTACGCATACTGTGAAAGAAAGGCTCAGAAGCATTCTGGGCTGGAAAGTGAGGGCTGGTCATGTCCAGAAAGGATTCCCAATGGCTAGCACTTAGGGGCTGAAGACCTCATCGTCTGATCTCTCTCCCTCACCCCAGGCACATTGGACAAGCCATTTTTCTTCTTGGCGTCTTGGCAGGATTTGGGGTAAGGCATTGCACAGGAAGTGAATTTTGAAGGAAACATTGGGAAAAGGGATACTGTCCCTCAGACTATTCCACTCTAAACCAAGCCTGATTTTCCAAGAAAGGCAAAACAAAATACAATACCATTCCTCTGAGAAATTCCCACAGTCTCTACTAACCGCTCATTTATGCATCCCTAGCATAACAGCATTTGGCCCCAGTACAAATGCACAAAGAGCCTTTCACAGATGCAAGCAATATCCCAGAGCATCGCAGGCAATGGAATCCCTGGCAGGTAATTTTGTCCCCACGTACTGTAGGAGCAACCAGAGAAGTGGAGCAGAAATGTGAAATTGCCTCACAACATAAAAGAAGCCCATTCTCATCTGCTGCTGACTTCATCCCATCCTCCCGCTCTGCACAGTGAAAATGCTCCTTTCTGACAGCACCTGCTTCATTACATCACAGAAGACAAAAACTGAATCTGCAGACTGAAACATCTTCCCTGTCTTTTCCACAGAAAGTGTTTCCTGGAAGATCCAATGGGATAAATTAGAAACCAAGAAAAAGACACTTTGAGACCTCAGTTCAGCTGCACAGGGCAGAAGGTAAGCATTTGAGGAATGGGTTCAGAAATGCCTCACTATCCACACGTTTTGCAGCATTCTTTGTCTCGGCTGTGCCGTTCCCTGGTCCTCTCTCACAGGCATACACGCACACAGAGTCACTACATAGTCACACCTTCCCCATCTCCTACTGCTCTGTCTGTAAGTAGTGATGTTTCCTTCTGCTTCTTTTCCTTTACTCTGTTGAACAGTCTCATTCTTTCTTCTTCTGCATGGATGCCACACTTAGCTGATCTCGACCTCTCCAAATTCCTGCATGATTTTGCCCATCCTCAACATTTTGCATCTTGCTAGCTGTTACCTACATAGATAGTAACCATGCATGCCCCTTGAAAGCTATCTGTCCCAAGCCATAAAGCTGTAAGGATAAAAGCAACGTGTCAGTCACTGAATGCCCTCTGTCTCTTCTCTGATCCCAAGAGAAACAAAAAGGAGAGAAGTATTTGATTTGGGGTCTTTCCTCATGACTGAGGAGCTCACAACACTCCTTCCCCAAAGTAATGCAAGCCAGGCTCATGGGACTAATCAGAGCGTGGCGGTGGAAAAGACAGAGGCATCGTACGCTGTCCTCAAGTTCATGGAGAGCTTCTGCCTCATCAGCGCCGTCTGCGGGATGGTGGGAAACGGCATAGTCCTGTGGTACCTCGGCTTTCGCATCCGGAGGAACCACTTCACTGTCTACATCGTCAACCTGGCCGCTGCCGACTTTGGCTACCTCCTCTGCATCGCCGTTGAGACGGTTCAGTACCTGATGCAGTTCAACGTGGGGGTGCAGTTCGGGCCCTTCCTCTTCCTGGATCTTTTCATGTACGGGACCGGCTTGTATCTCCTGACCGCTATCAGCATCGAGAGGTGCCTCTCCGTCCTCTGTCCAATCTGGTGCCGAACCCACCGCCCCAAGCACTTGTCCGGCACCATCTCCGGCTTGCTCTGGGCTCTCTCCCTGCTGCTGAACACGCTCGGCTACGTTTTGTGTACCGTTCGCCGCTCCGACGGGAGCTGCCGGCTCCTGCTCATCGCCATCGGAGCCTTGGACTTCGTCTTCTGCACGCCCCTCATGCTGCTCTTCAGCCTGACCCTCTTCCTTAGAGTCAAGTGCAGCTCCCAAAAGCTCCAGACGGGCAGGCTCTTCACCGTCATCATGCTCACCATCCTCTTCTTCCTCATTTTCGCCGTGCCTCTGGGCGTCCTGATCTTCTTTGACTTCTTGGGTTACAAGTTCCTCTACTCCCCGGAGATCGGCTTTGTGCTGTCCTGCGTGAACAGCAGCCTCAACCCCGTCATCTACTTCCTCGTGGGGAGCTACAGGGAGCGGAGAATCAAGTTCACCCTCAGGCTGGCATTCCAGAGGGCCTTTGAAGATTCAGCAGATGACAAAGAGGAACGGGAAAGCCGTAACACGAAAACTGTGTCCTCCTAAATTTCTCCCCTTTTTTGCCTGATCACCTTTTGAAATGGAGAGAGAAGGAAAAAGAGAGGAAGAACATAAAGATTCCTTTGAACCAATGGACCCTTGATCCCCGGGCTGGGGGCAAAAGTGCATATATAAGTCTAATTTAAGGCTATACCAAGCCATGTTGCCAGCCCCATAGGTTAACCCCAAATTCCAATGCACTTTTATTTAGACTGCTCCACGGCAAAGTGTGCGAACTGTCTTTGTGGCTAGCTTACTTCACTTACTGTCACTCTCTTTGGCTGCCAAGTTTAATAAACAGCATTTTAAAATGGTTCTGCCCAGCGTTTGTTTGCTTTTTGCTCTCAGCTGTCACTCTAGATCTGACATTTCAGCTCCTTTTCCATCAACTTTCTCACTTCTAAAGCCATTGCATAGCTTACATATGGTCAAAAATGCCTCCTCAAAACTAATTTCAAAATGAGTTATTTTTGGCAATAAAGCATAAAAGCAATCTCCCTTCACCCCTTAACATTTATGCTTTAAAAAAAAAAAACAAACAAAAAATACCCCAACAGAAATCAGTTGTCCAAAAAGAAACGTGGAAGCAAGCATGCCCACGATGTGTTGGAGGCCAGGAGAGCTCTGTGGGAGCTCTGCTTCTCTGCTCATGTTCTCCTCCTCAGGTGTCTGCCTGGATACTCTGTCCCCAGGGCTCCACCAGAAGGAGCCTGCCCAAACCACCCTGGCCACAAACTGAAAGGCTTCTCTTAAAACAATGGGAGGGACACAAAGGCGTGGGGTAGATTTTTGCGGGGCGGGGGGGGAATGAACGAAGGGATGAACTTCCAGGGGAGATGGTGGTGCAGAAGAGCTTCAGAAGCAGCTGAGGAAGACACACACTGCACAGTAAAGCTGACTGGTTGCAGAAATTCAAGTGCAATTAATTCAAGGAATTAAGCCAAAGAAAGCGCTGGGCCAAGGTATGGGCATGGGCTCTTGGACACTCTACACAGCATCTGCCATGTCAGACTTAATCCTCCATATGCCATTCACCTTGTTTTTTCGCTAAGAGAACAGATGTCATCTGACACTAGAATTAAAATGCTAATACTATTTAAGATATCAAAATTACCCCAAACTTCAAAGTACAGATGCTATTATTCTGCTTTTTCTATTCAGGTTAGTAAAGTGCCCCTACATCTGCCCTGGCAGTGAACTGGATGGGAATTTGGAAGGTTTAGAAATAAAGGCAGAAAATTTTATGGCATCCAAACAGAAAACATACCTTTGTCAAGAAGATGTGCTAAGGACAGAAGTGAAACAGTCATGGTAGGGAGAGGTGATTTTTCATTATATCAAACCAACTAAACTTAGCAAACTTGAGGTTAAATACATTCTGAGATCAGCTCCTCTGAGCTCAACCTGATGACACTATTCAGTGAGGTGACACCTCCACCGACTCTCTGCAGAAGCTACCTTCCATCCTTGTTTTGCTCTTCAGAGGCTCTCTGTAGCCCAATAAAACCCTTGACCCTTTGGGGTTATTCCTTACAGGGTAGTAGATAAAAAAAAAATGCTGCTGCTGTTTGCAGAAGGAAAACCTCTGGGTGCAACATGTGATGACCAGCTAAAAATTTGATGGGTTTGATACATGTGCAGTGGAGAACATCAGGGAGGAAGGTGGTGATAAGAATATAGACGTCTCCTAGCTGATACTGCTCTGTGTATGTTTTAGATGCTAATGAGGAGGGGAAGATGGAGAAAAATCAGGAGCAAAAATAAACAAATTAGGAAATCTAATATGAAGACAGACTTATGCGTATCTTCATTGTTAAAACACATTGCTCCACACAACGTTAGACAATAGGCTCTTGGGTTGGTGGACTCATCACTGGACCAAAGAGGAGAATTATTGGTACAAAAATGCCAATTCCCTTCAGGGCTGATGAGCGACTGCTGTCGCACGTACCTTTGTAGCACTCTTGATTTCACAGTTTTGAAACAAGATGCAGCTGGCTGCACTAACCAGCAAGAGGAAGCAGGTGCACGGAGGTGCAAACCAACCTCTCATCCTTTCAAAGGTGACAAAGAAAAGACGAATGGGAGGGTGGAAATCAGCCCAAACAGAAAAAATGGCAATGGTACCTAACAACAGGGACCCAGCCTAACCGGGTTCTTGGCCATGAACAGGGAGGGAACATACAGGGATCTGGCTGATCTGAGGAGAACCCAATGCCGGAGTGGGGGAAGAGTTGGGGAGGGAAGGAGCAGGGAATTTCGGACTGTAACGCCCCCCCGGAGCACCTCTGTGCTGCTTTGGGGGCAGAGGAGTCTGGAGGGAAGGAGGGAAGCTGAGGGGGGGTGTGGGGGTGGTGTTGTTGTGTTTTAATTGTCTCTCACTACCTAAATCTATTTTAATTGCCTATAAATTAATTTTCCCTAGGTCAGGTCTGTTTTTGCCCAAGACGGTAATTGGTAAGGGATCTCCTGTGCAAAGGGGAACTAGGGACACCTTTCTCCATCAGTTTTAAAAAGAACTGAGGACTTCTGTTGTGTTCTGAGGGTCGGCCGTAATACATCAATCCCTGTACCTCAAACCTGTCTCTGTCAGAGGAAAGGACTCATTACAAAGCTTTCCTCACTGGTGTTTCTCTCCCCATTTCTCCCCTTTCTCTCACATCCTTTAAGAGGCAAAAGGAATAGGAACTCCCGTATGCCCAGGTCTGTACTTTCCTGGTAATGTCTGTCCCTGTCCAGGTCCCAGCCTGGAGCTGCCGCATCCCTGTGTGTGGGGGAAAAACAGGGAGTGAGACCATGACCAAGGGGGCTTCTAGTGAAAGACACAGAAACAGAATGGGTGGGAACCAGCTCTGTAAAAACAATAAGCTAAGGCATGTTATTAGTTATTAAAAAATAAAATCCTTCCTCTCAGCGCCTGGGCCTGAACCCCATACTGCAGCGAGTCTGCCATGGGGCAGCTCAGTTCCACAACCTCAGTGGCTTTTGCTGGCTATTTTCCCCACAATTTCCATGTGAATGTTTTCTGATTTACAACCAGTCACTTGGAAGTCTAATATTTCCCAGCTGCACCATGGGTGGAATTTGTCCCCTTGGGATCTCTTGGGACCTTTCACAAAGAGGCTGTCTTGACATCACCTCAAACCAAAGGAGGAATGAGCTCATGAAGTCCAATTTCTTCTGAACACAGACCAAGTTTTAGGGCATTCAGTGATGCTCATGACTTCTAATCTTCTCTGAGTAGAGGAAATGACTAATGGAAAGAAACTTCAGAAGATAAGCAGTATAGAAAACATCCTTTTTTGCTTACAGATATTTCTATTTTATATAGATTGTTTCTGTCCTGGTAATTATATGAATATTAGCACCAACTTAATTGTTTTGGTTTTACTGTTCTCTGTTCTTAATTGATGAATCACATGGATATTTGGTAATATGATTTTCTCCATCTTAAATACATCTTATCTCAGTCCATTATGCCTATTGCAGAGCTTCCTTAGGATGTTTCAATCACAGCTGTGCTTTGCATTAGAGCAGCAATATCATGCATCACCCATTTTATGGGAAGTTCCTAACAAAAAGGAGGGATCTGAGAAGAACCAAGAATACTCATTGCACAATGTGTGGTAGAGGAAATAGTACTCGAATTACTGTCAAAGACAGCACTAAGTATAAGGCAAATCATAGTGAAAACAAACAAAGGGGAAAATGAAGACCGAAAATGGGGACTGGACCAGATAAATAATTTTTTATTTAAGACACAGGAAGAACCTTCAAGTCAATATGGGCTGGAAAAGGACAAAAAAGCCAAGTTTATTTTAGAACAGCTAATTCCAGCTGTTAGTCTGGTATTTCATAACTGTGCTTGCTGTTTGGCAGGTGAATAACATTTCCTCCAATAATTCCAGGACCAGCCCCCGTGTGACTCACCCAGCTACACATGGGAATTTAGCACTCTGGGGATATTCTTCTTCATCTGTCCTGTCTAAGCAAATCCTTTGTCATGCAAACACTTCATACTATCTCTGTTCCGCAATTCCACCTGTACCTCTAGCCGTGCCGGCATCCCAAGGTCGGTGTTCATGTGCCATCTTTACCATACCAACACTTGTCTACCCTGTGCTTAGCAAGCTCCAGGGCTTAGGCACTCCTCCCGTGCCATTCACATTAAACAGTTACACTCGTATAAACACTTTGGCTGCTGTTCACAGCTTCTTGAGGCTGCTTCTGGCCCATGAAAGAGTAAAGCTTTCATGGGAGCTGCATTTATGTGAAAATGAACTTCAGCAAGGTCCAGAGATGCTACCTATACCTACCAGTCCTCCCTCAGTTATGTGTCAAGACTATCATAAGAAAACAGCAATACTTCTATTGTTAGGGTGATTTACTTTTTTATTGGTTAAGAAAACTTAGAAATAAAATAAATGTAAAGTGTTTGGGGTGGGAGGGATTCCTGCAATGCAGGAATCACAGATGTGCCAGGTGACCCCACTGTAAACACAGAGATCCCCTAAACACAATCAGTGGAGCTGAGAGGATAACCAGGTAAGGGGAGAAGACAGTGGAGAGGCATCATGCTATCTAGTGAAATCTCTGCTAAAACAATATTGTAATCAATCATCAAATGTCCTCCAGACCTTGTTAACTAACATGAAATGGCTTCAGTGAAAGTGCTGCTCTGTAAAAAGAAAAACAAAAAAAGAGAGGCTATGACCCCCTGTTATTTCTTTGAATGTTCTGGTCAGAACATGTTCCCTTCTTTCTCTGACTTAGACCTACCTTCAAAAAAGCAGTTTTAGATCCCCCAAAAGATCACAAAGACTCATTCACTGACCAAAGGGAGCAAGAGTTTATTAGGCTGGATCCAGGGCATGGGGGCCCTCTTTCCCCCTGAGCTGCCTGGGGGGCTCAGCATCTTCAGCCCCTGCTGACCCCCCCACGTTCCCCTGCCTGAGCTCTCCCCAGTCACACCAGCACATGGCATTCACACCACTGGATGTCTCTATGACCCTGAGGTAGCTGCAACAAACCCCATCTCTGCTGGGAGCAGCCTCCCATGGGCGGCCACATTGCACAGAAGCCCTCCAGGCTTGGCCTCAAGTCAAAGCAAGGGAGAAGCTGGCACGTAGGGTCCAGACCTGGCCAACAACCGGGGTCACTTCTCCTCCCCTGCTCTACCTGGCCTGTGCCCCTTGCACCGTGTCGCCTCATACCAGGAATGAGGAGAGGCACCAGCCTCGAGGAGACCTGAGCGTTCTCCCTCAGTGGCTGTCCCAGCCAGAGGAGGAACGTCACCAGCCCAGCCACTTGCCCCTCCGCTCTGCCGCACGGGAGCAGCTCCAGCCTCCCCCCCCTCCCCTCCTTGCACACTGTTTTCTCTTCGAGCACTTGGTGAGAGCAGCTTTCACCCAGCCCTGGGACCATCACTGCCAGTAGGTCCCCATCAGGAAGCAAATTAATGGGTTAATGCTCCTTTTTGCAGCTGCTAGCAAGGACGATGAACTTTTATCCTAAGTTCATCATGTTCAATGAATAAGCCTTCCTAAACTTGCTCAACAGATGAAGAGGCTGGTGAGAAGCATGATGGGCAGCCTCCCTGGGGGATGCCTTAGTAAGCAACACCAGAGTTTGATGAATAGGATCGAGTCTGACGGCAGTGGCAGGGTGGAGAATATGAGGGAACTCTGAAGATCTGCACCACTGCATATGTTGCCCCAGACAGACATTAGGTAAAAATTACAGCAAATAGATGTTAAGCAAATGAAAATGCCAGGCAAAGCCCAGAGCACCCCACACACGATGCCTGACAAGTGGTTGTGGTGGTGGCATCGGTACCAGGTTGGGAAGAGGACAGAGAGACATCGCTCCTCACTGATTGCTGTCAGGAGATATGTGCTGCTAAGGTAACAGAAGAGAAACAGGAGGTAAACTGCAGTGAAGATCACATCTGGGAAGTTCAAACAAAAAAAAACCCTGCACCATGTAATGCAAATGGTAAACAAAAAAAAGGATCAGAGAGAAGTCAGCGATGGCCAGGTTCAGGATGTAGACAGTAAAGGGGCTCTTCTTCATGTGGAAGCCCAGGAACTGCACAACCACCACATTTCCCAGCAGCCCACAGAGCCAAACACCCCACCAAACCAGTGTGAAAAAGTCAACCATAAAAGTCTGTGACTCACAAGACTGGCTGTCTCTCCCATGCGCTCCACCATTCAAGGAATAATTGAACAGAGAGAGGTTTGTTGTGTTGGTCTCCACCACTGCTAATGACCCTACTCCGGATGACTGCCTTCTCCCTCTCCCACCACCTCCTAGGAGAGACAAGGAATCAGAAGGAAATGACGGGCATCAGCATTCCCAGTGCTCACCATCTTTCCCCACAGCCCCACGCCAGCCCCAGGCTGCACCAGGAAGGACCCCATCCCCTGCCATGCCCAGGACAGGTTCCCACCCCTCCTGCCCTGTCCCTGGCCAGGAAGCATCTCCCACACGCCCATCCCTGGTCTCCTACCTCCTGGTGCTCCTGGGAACAGTGCTGCCACAGGAACCCCAGCACACGGGGCATCTGCGGGGCCAGGCTTGCCGGGAAAAGGGGCTGGTGATGGCTGCTGGGGCCACCCACTCTGCTTTGGCCTCCTGCCTTATTCCTGAGGAGCAGACCTTTGCCCAGAGATCACATCTAGTGGTCAGGAGTCTCTCCTCACAATCTCATCGCATTGGTGACAGCTTCCCCTCACATGTCCCATGATCGGCAATCTCATCAGCAGGAGCTGGCCACATCACCCCCTTTCTCTCCTCCCCCCGGTCTTTCACCAGGAGGTGCTGATCTGTTATGATCCCATTAAAAAGGCACTCGGACTCTGTAAAGTATCATTTTAAATGCCATTTACTAGATCTAAAACTATGAAGAAGGAGAGGATAGCACAGATAATCTTATGTCCCTTCAGGTGCTGGGCACCCCAGGTCTTGCAGCATCAAACAGACCTCTGATCAGGGCAGATCCTGTCCATGGAAAGGTTACCCCATTATGGTCATTTGAGCTATCACAGGATTTTCTTAAAAAAGAAAACAACGCATTCTACTATCAAACAAAAAAAAGATGTTCACATGAGAACCATTGTAGCAGCCTTAGATAAAGGCAAGGACATGCAGGTGGGGTAATCACCAGCACCCAGTGGGAGCTGCCTGCAGGTTCCTCTTTTACCGTCGACCGACCAGGTGTAGCCCATGGCCAAGGGAGATGCACGGCACAGCACGGCATGGCATAGCACAGGCCTGGGACTACTCAGGTTGAGTGTTTTGTGGATCACCAACTCCCTGATGTATAACGGTCTTCTGGTCGGGCTCCCTACACCCCCGTCCTCCAGCTTCAGCTCACCATGCCGGAGTCTCCTGGGTGTTGCTGTGCGAAGCTGGTGGTGGAAGACTTCCCCTAGCTCTCTTCTGTTCCTTCGCTATCCTTACAGCCTGCGTCACAAAGGGGATGGTGGGGAAGAGATTTGGCAGGGCAGGAGGAAGGCAGAAAGATGAGAATGAGTGAGATGAGCCAGGGACCAGCAACAATGGGGATGAACCAGCAGAAAACTCTTGGAAGTCTCTTACAGTCCTGTGGTCTTAATGCTCCTTCTCCCCATCATTCTTCAGGTGCAGAACTGCTCCTGGTCATGCCCATCCCTGCTCCTGCCCCCCTCAGCCCTCATCACACAGCCACTCCCTGCACTGGGATGCCAACAGAGTCCCCTCATCAGCAGCCAACGGGGCAGAGCACTGCCTTGTCTCAACTTGCTGTGAGAAATCACCAGTATTCAGATACAGAACAGCACGAGGACTTTGCCCGCTGCCTTTAATCACATCCCTGACATGCATGTGTCTTCGCTGAGATTACATTTTGTGGGGTACATAGTGCTGCAAACGTGCTTTTATCTACAAGTGGTTCCTGTTGCACAATCTCATCCTTTAGCATCACAGGCACTGGCATTTTCATTGCTTATTTTCTCTCCTTCTTTCATGTGTTTTCCATCTTTTGAATACCTCTTCTTGGGACTTATTGCCTATGCTTGTCATCCCCAAGACTGATGTCCTCCAAGGATGTCCCTTGATTTCATGCAGTGAATGCATGGTAATGAACAAGGTCCACAATCTCTCCAGTGGGTCCAGCCTGAAGCTGCAGGAGTTGGAGTCAGAGATAGACTTGAAACAAGGCTAGATCATATGCTCAAGGTCCATCCATGAGAAGGGGATGGAGACAGGTCTTCAGACAAGTGCAACTCCTGCACAGCTCGGGCAAAGCCTGGTTGCTCAAGCCTGACCCTAACTGGAGCCCCTGGTCCCATGGGCAGGGGATGAATGGATGAGGTCAGGGCAAATTAGGGCTGCTGTTGCCCTTAGGACCCTGGAAGAGAGAATCAGAGTGCCTTACATGGGCAGTTAATGTGCTATGCTGTTCAGTCATGCTTCATGAGATTAAGTCCCTTTATTCCCCTTTTGGGCTATAAAAATCAGCTCATCATTGTCCTACAATGACAGCATGTGTTTTTCTTTCTTCACCTCCACTGTGAAAAACATTTCACTTTATTGATTTCTTTTATGACTTTGTAGCATTAAATTTCTCACAAGTATTATGTTCCATGCTTTGACACATTAAAACAAAGCCTCCATCTGATGGCAATGTCTCCAAGAAGAAAGTTGGGAAAAGCTTTTGAGCACCAGTTTACATGTCATTAGAGGCACTGAGCAAAGCCCTCTTGCTGTTACACGTCTGCACATCAGTGATTTCCCACTGGTGAGGGTCCCTGGCTCATCTCTCACCTCTCTGCCATCCTCCATCCCCGGGATGATTTATGTACCCTCCTGTATTGACAGACGGAGCTTTCCCCATGCACAGAAGTGGTGCTGCTGGGAAGTAACAGGAGAACACATTACTCTGCAAAACTGTCCCCAAAGCTTCCTGGTCTGGGACAGTACGCCCTTCACACACCTCCCACTCCGTACATGAGCCAGCCAGCCAGCATCATCCCTTATGGCATGGTGCTCCTCTCTCTTCCTTCGCCTCCGAGCAGATCTTGCTTGCCCTCAGCTCTGTGGGAGTTGTCTCCTATGGTTTGGGGCTATAGGTAAGTTCCTTGCAGTATGTTCTGGGTTTTGCCACACATTTTGGAGAAACATCTGTGTGGGGGCAAAGTACGCCCAGGGAGAGCAGGGGGAAGTCTTGGATCACACAGCGAAAGCCAGAAGCCCTTCCCATGGTCGGACAAAGCTGGAGGATGGCAGGAAGAGAGGAAGGGGGGGATGTTCCTTCTTGTTAAACTTATATTATACCTTATTTCAACAGTCTATTGTATTTTCTCACTTCAATATCTTTTGACTAATTATATCCTGATAGTTCTGCTTCTGTTTTAGTATTTTGCCAGCATGTATCTCCTGACAGCAATGAGCATGGAGAGGTGCCTGTCTCTTTTGTTCCCAGTCTGGTACTGGTGTCACTGCACAAAGCACTTGTTGGGTATCACGTGTGGGGTGCTCAGGGCTCTCACTGGACTTTTTATTTCTTTGGCTTGGATTAGTTGTTATTTGAATATAAACTGTCAGCAACTATTACAAGGTTTAAGCACTGTGAATTTTCTCATTTTCTCTTTATTCCCATTCCTTTGCAACCTGTCCCTGTTGATCAAACTCCAATGTGGCTCACAGAGATGACACCCAGAGAAATTCTATGTTGCTGTCCTGCTCAGTGTGATCTTCCTGTCCATCTTTGGGTTGAGAAGACTCAGCGTGGTGATTTTTCTTGGGTGTATTGGTATAAGACTATTTGTACTTCAGATGTCTTACCTGCTGGCATCGCTGAACAGCAGCATCAACCTGGTCATTTACTTCCCAGTAGGGAGCTGCCGGCAGCGCTGGTTCCAGAGCTCTGCAAAAGTCACCCTCAGCCAAGAGTTCAAAGAGAAAGCAACAAGCGAGGAGGAGAGCCACATACGTAGGGACACCGCAGTGGAGACCACTCTATAAGGCACTGCTGGCAAGGAGACATGGAGATGTGGAGCCTTGCAGACAGCCAGAAGGATGGAGGCGTGGAGGCACGTAGCAGAGACCCCGCACAGCGCTGCTCAGCCGGGCTCCATCCCAGTGCCCGGGCTGTATTCCCCATTGCAACGACCCTAGCCCCAGTGAATAAACTCTGGCTTCTCTGGCTCAGCAGATGAGTTTCACAGTGTTTTGGGGGATCTCTTGCCTGGGGAAAATCTGACACATTAGGGCCATCTCTGTTGTCCAAGGCGGGACTCTGCAAAAATGATTGCAAAAATGGGCAAGCCGAGGGGGTCCTTTGGGTATTCCGCCGGCACTGCTGCACTCCTGCTGGCGTGAAAGGTTGAGCAAGGAGCAGAGGCAATTGCTGCCGTGGGAAGCAGCAGTGCAGCTCGTGGGCAGGGTACCACAGCCCCCCCGACCCTGGTCCCCTGGGCATGGGGACGTTGTGATGGCAGGGCTGGCCGTGCCTCTACATCTGCTGCCGGGACACGGAGGGTGAGGACTCCCACTTGCTCCTGGAAGGGGGATACCCTCGTGAAGAGAGGCTAGCAGGCACCCCACCCCCACCAAAAATCCCCCTCCCAGCCCAGGGGAACCCCTCTGCCTCCTCCGGGGCTGTGCGGACCCCCCGAGCGGGGCTGGACCCCCAGGCCGTGCTGCTGACCCACAGCCCGGGCTCAGAGGGCTGCGGGGACACATCCAGGGGATTTCACAAATATCTGCGGGGTTGGTGCCTCTAGATGGCAGGAGAGGGGTAGGGATCGCACGGAGCATCCTCGCCCTTCTCTCTTAAGAGCCGGACAGCGGAGCCGGCCCTGCAGTCCCAGCTGAGGGAAAGATGCTGCAGGCAGGACTGCAGAGAGAAGAAGCAAGAGCATTCTTTCATACCTGAAGTGGGAATTTGTCACACTTTCTAATTCCAGGGTTAAATCATTCTGAGAAAAGTACGGGTTCGCTAGTGCTGGAGGATTATGAATGGCGTGTTCCCGGCACTCGTGTTTGGGCCAAGAAGTTCACACAAGGTGCTGTTTTCCAGCTCTGCTCCAGGAGAACACGGCTCATTGCAGCAGACTACAGCTGGCTGGCGAGACACCATGTCCTGGGGGTTGTCACCTCCCTGCTGGCGTTTCTCGGGGACTGGACAGCACAGTAAGCATCCCTGCAAGAGGGCAGGGAATCTGCTCCGGCCCTGCTCCTATCAGTCCCTACAGGAAAACCAAGAGAGGATTTTAAGTCATGTTTCACTTTTCAATATCTCCACAAAAGTTTTGTCCACAGGGACAAAAGCATCCCAAAGGAGGCTTTAGACTCTTTTGCCTTACTTCAGCCAAGGCTATGATGCCTTGTCCTCCAAACTTGGAAGAGGAGCTGTCTCCAGAAAAGGCACCGATCTTGGAAAGGAAATATTTCAAGGTGAAGAGTGAGATAACAGAGTGCAGCTCAGGATGCCTGATGCCAAAGATCACCTCTCTGATGCCAGAGAGAAGCGAAGCAGGTAAATGTCAGCTGCAGAGGCTGAGATGGGAACCTGCTCTGGCACAGCTCACCAAACACTCCCCAGACATGGCTCCAAGCCATGCCATGAAGCAAGGCAGGGGATTACCAGATCAGATGGTTTTGGCAAAGCAGACACATTAATTCCTGTATTCTCTTTGCTCACAGCAAAGATTTCATAGTAACTCCACTGAACGCACCTCTGCGTCCATGACCAAAACAAGCCTGAAATATGGAAATTAACAAAACCAGATGTATGGGCCACTTAATTTTATAGAAATTAGGAGCTCATCTGCCTGTGTGGGCTGGCAGGGAGTGGGCCATCCTTTGGTTGCCCAGGTTCAGCATCAAGAAGAAACCCTTCACTGCCTCTGTACTGGACCAGACCATCCTCAGGAGGAGCGGAGCAGCTCCTCTGCACAGCTGTTTCAATGACTAACCGTACGTTCCAAAATCCTGATTGTACCTATCTTTTTCTAGTTAACCTACCTAAGGCATCATTTTGTTACTTCTCCTAAATTAAATTTGGATTTCTTTTTTTGTTTCCAACATGCTAACTCTGACCCCAAAGTTTGTTGACTAAACAACAACTGGACTTCACTGCAGAGTTTGTCACTGGTGGACAGAGCAAGGCTGACTCAACTTTGCCAGAAAATGGCTCATTTCCTCTCATTCTAAAGCCTCTGTCTTGTCTATGAGGAGGACTGGTACCTCCAGAGCATGATGCACCTCATCCTAAGGTAGGCGCCTGCAATAGCTGGGATCAGCCATCTGTTAAGAGTGCCAAGATTTCCTCATTTGTTCTGGGAGGGACCTGGGCAGCAGATGACATCTCTCTGGGATGATTGCAGTTAGCAGAGATGTCTCCCGCTGTAAGAAGCCTCCCGCTGAGCCAAAGTGGAGCTGCCCACACATGCTGAAAGCTTTCCTTGGGAACAGCTGAGCACACCAGGAGAGCACCTCCTTGTAGGATGGTGCAGGCAAAGGTGGAAGGGCAGAGGGAAAGACCAGGAGGAAAGGACCTCGCAGCATCCCAGCACCTGGGAGACGGCTGGGAAAAGCGAGGAGGAGGCACACAGCCTGACAGGGGGCTTCACATTTGCAGGTGGCAGGGATGCCTGATTACACCCACCCATTTTCCTGCCTCTTACACAGTGGGAAGATGTCCATCCTTTTTGCACTGCCTTAAATCCAAGGGTAACTAACGTGCCACTGCTTTTAGAAAGAGATGTGAGAGTATAAGCCATGGGTGGTGAGTCATGCTTTGAAGACACATGATGAGATTAAACATCTAAGAAACCTTTATTAACAGTTCTTTTACAGAACAGGGCAGGAGTCTTCCATAGTTGAGAGCAGGTTTTTTTCTCCCTCTCTCCCATTTTCCCATCCTTTGGAAAGTAAAAACTTTTTGAGCTACAACCTGTTGTCCAGGAAAGAGCCCCCATCATCCAGGGAGAGTCTCTCAAGGCAGGTGCAGAAGGACCATGATCCTCCCGTGTGCTTTTCCTGCTTCCCAGGATCTCCCTTGCCTGCAGTGTCACCCAGACCACCACCTATCTGAGCTTCTTGTTTTTACCAGAGAGTTCTATGGGTTTGGTTATCACGGCTCTGTACCTGTACTGCACCAAGTGATGGATTTTCATTCCAGCCTGTTTGGTGACATGTAGCTCTGGGCTGAGGGACAAGCCAAAGGGCAGAGAAACTTCTGTCGCCATACTAGGTCCTAGAGGCCATGGCATCGGTAGTTCCTGGGGTTACTGTTTCGGTCTATCCTGCTGCTGCCTGTTGTCCCTCCATCCCTCCCTGCCAGCTGCATCTTCCCAACCTTTCCCTCGTGCTCAAACTAAAGTTAGTGCAGCCTGGTGGCAAGTCGCACCAGGGAACAAAACCAGCGCAAAAGCAATGGTTGGTTGGTGGCTTAGTTCACAGGAAAATGAGAGCTGGTGTATCCCCCAGCTCCTTGCTAACAAGGGCTGACAGACATGGAGGGAAGAGAGAAGGGGAGAAAGTGCTGCCACTACCCCTTTGACCCAGGGAGTGCCTGAGCCAGGCTACAGGGATTCAGTCCTCACGGCCTCACCAGGGTCTTTTCCATAAAAAGTCCACTGTTTTCTTCTCTCTGCCTGTATCCTCATTGACATGGAAAATCCAGTCCTTACAGAGTCTTCAGGCAGGGCTGTGCTTTTTGGGTTGTTTCATTTTAACTATACTCTCCTTGTTATTCTAGATGAGGAGCAGCCACACCAGAAATGGATACAGACCTCAGCTCAGGGTTGCGAAATGGTATTTGCTCAAGCTAACCATACAGACAGCCCCCAGAAAAGTGGGAGGAACCACAAGAGGCAGTTCCAATCAAAAACCCTTGTGTGCAGACGACCCACACGATGGGCGGATAAAACTCAGTTTGCAGCAGAAGCAATGCATTTTGGGGAAAGCCTTCCAGGCGTGATCCCAAATACATGCCTACTTGCCTGGTAAAAAAGCTGAATGTGAAGTCTCCACATATTCTTCACACATGTCGGTACCCGCTGGAGATGCACACACAAGGGTTTGCCCAGGAATTGTTCTGCCCTGCTGTGCCAAGCTTTCTTATCCACCGGCACTCTGCTCTTAAGCAGACACACCAAAAAAACCCACTGGCAGGAGCTAAGAACCTCCACGGCGCTCTTTTAACAGTGCACAGGGTAAAGCAAGCTCACTTTTGAGACAGTGAAAGCTCAGACCTGTTGAATAGGACAGATTCAAAGAAAAGGTTTCAAAGCAAAAGGTTTCAATGGGTATTCCATCACGCTGTCCAGTGTCCACCCCAGGCAGGAGTTCCCATGCCACCCAGTGCGTTTTGTTGTGCCACAGCTAATTCCGTTCAGCTGCAGCCAGACCCGCACCGAAACCATCTTCCTTGTTTCATGGGACATCTCCGTCCCTAGAGCATCTTCTCTCAGGGAGGGGCTGCAGAGGTTTAAACAGCTGTTTCCACTGTGTTTTCTCTGGGAGGTTCGCCTCTATTTTGGGGCTCTGTTACATCTTCGAAAGCCCTTTGGAAAGCAACCCTAACAGAGGGTGTGAACTTCTTTGCACAGCTCCCAACAAAGAAGTAAACAACAGGGTTGATACTGCTGTTGACACAGGCAAACAGGAGAGAGGCGTCAAAGACAAAAACAGAAAAATCAAACAGTCTTAGTAAGAGCCAGTAACCAAAATCTGCAGTGAAGAAAGGGAAGAAGAAGACAGCTAGCAGGACCACAACACAGAGCTTCCTTGGAGGATATTGCTGTGAACAGCACAAGACCCTGGCAAGCAGGGTCAGACCAGAAAAAATCAGGGTAAGCACCGATAAGACGTAGCTGAGGATGAAGACAGTGAGCACCGCGGGGCAGAAGTAGAGGGTCACGGTGAGCAGGAAGGCGAGGGCCCAGAGCAGGGCACAGACGAGCACTGGCAAGCGGTGGCGGGGGCAGCGGGCCAGGGGGAGGACAGACAGAGACGTCGTGGCACTGAAGGCTGTCAGGAGATAGACGCTGGCGGTGAAAGTGAAGAGGATGGTGATATTCATCACAGTTGTCACGTCCTGGGAGCTCCGCCCGGGACAAAGGCTCTCTGGGCCGTAAAATATCACAAGGGTAATGGCGATGGAGAGGAGGAAAGTGAAGTCGGCGACGGCCAGGTTGAGGATGTAGGTGGTGATGGGGTTCCTGTGGATGCGGGAGCCGAGGAACCAGAGGACGGCCCCGTTCCCCACCAGCCCGCAGAGGCAGATGAGCAGCGTGACTGGGACTTTGCTCAAGTGATGGGCTTCACAGTCAGTCCAGTTGTAGTGATTGTCCTCACGCCCCAGCAGCGTGTGATGCCAACTCCTGTTAGATGCTGTCCCACCGAGCTGGCTCCAGCAAGCAGGGCTGGCTCTTTCCGTGGTAGGGAGCAATGTGTTCATTACGAAATCTCTGCCACTTCTTCCCCCTTGCACAGCTGGAGGGACGAGACAAAACAGAGACGTGTTAGCAACTCTGCTGTCCCCCACACTAGGCTTTTCAGGTCTTTGCAGCCGTGCCCCAGCTTCCACGTGGAGGAGCACAGAGAGAAAGGAGGGAGAGGAGAGGTGGAAGAGAGGATGGAAGGAGATGGGTATGACATGCCTGGCACGAGAGCATGTACAGAGGTGGAGCAAAAGCTAGGGAGATGCCTCCTTCCTGGCTTTGGACAGGACAGATCTGGAGGAGGAAAATAATAAGCTGAAAGGATTGTCCCTCTAGATGTCAAAAGCAAGTGGTTTTGGGGGTAGATCTGATATGGATTCTCAGATGTCTAATATTAGAGTTGATACTACTAAGCTGCTGGGTTCCTTCAGTGGGACGCTCATTTCACTATTCCCCTACCACCTTTTTCCACAATATTTATAGGTCTTAATATCCTAGAGACCACTATTCCTCAATCAGATTTGGTACAAACTGACCAACAGGGGAGGCAGTGATTAGGCTGGGAAAAAAACTCACCCAGAAAAGTCTGACCTTCTTTCCCCTCGCAGCCTGGAGAACTTTACTGCAGCAGAGGCACTGCAGACTCACATCACCTCGCACTCTCCAGCTGCCGCCCCCGTGATGGGATCTTCATGAGGTTTCCTGGAATTATCACTTGGAAAACTGGACTGAAGCCTGTTTTGGTGAGCCTGTGAATTGTTCCGCATAAGATCTTTCTCAGGTCCTTTCACAAACCACTTTTATCAGTGTTAGCCAAGCGGGTCATGTTCTCGCAAACAGGGTACTACTTCATTGCATTTGACAGTATCAGGGTTCTGGTTATAATCTTTTCTTGGCTTTGTACAGGAAATGACTAGCAAAAAAAAAAGTCTCAGAAACTAGACCTATGGGAAAAGCAGATTGTCTCTGAGTCAAGTTCCTCTTTCGTTTCATTTTAAAGCAACCCCAATCCAGAAATTCATTCTTTGAACTGGCTGAACTTTTCTTCTATGGTTCCAGGGGTGTATCTTTAGGACCCTGTGCTACAAGCTTCGCGTTGCTGCAAAGCCTCTATGTCTGATTCAGATCTGGGTTTGCCACTTGTATACCACAACTTCACAGTGATACTCGACCTTCAAATACACAGTTTCCAAAAGCATGCTACTACGTGCACCGAGCTGCTAAGTGAATCATAAGATCTGTGCACGAACTAGAGCACAGACAGACAGTGGAGAGATGACTTAAGATTTCAGGAGAATCTTTTTTTCCTAAGGAGAGGGGAATCAATGCTGCTCACTTGGCTTTAGCCATCTAAAAGTTACGGGTTTCATCTGAGTTGTCCTCTACACTCCCTCTGTAGTCAGTCAGCAGCCTACGATGGTTTCCTCAGACAGGTCCATGTAATACCTAGAGAGCTGAAGGTAGGTGAGATGATTCCTACCCAGACTGACTGCACTCAAGGTCAAATGCAAACAGCTCCTGTTGCATCCGGGAGCAGGGGTGTTCCTGCTGGGAACTGGCACGCATGGGGACCCCAACACGAAAACCACCTCCTCTCTCCCTCTCTGACACGGCATTTGTGTCCCCAGGTACAGAATCACATTCCCTCGCCAAGCCTTTCAAGTGCAAACAGGTCATGATAGGGAAAGCATCAAGGTACACCAGCATAATGCTGTGCAACACAACGCTCGCTGCCCGATCTACCCGTGTGCTCGACAAGAGAGCAGAATTACCCAGGGTTTCTCAGATTCTGCTTTCATGGGCACCATCCTGAGCATGTGTGCCTAAAATTTTGATTTCCAACACAAGATTTACGGACATCAGTTACTTGTTTGTATCGGGGTCAGGTTTGTATGTGTTCAAAGGAAGCTACGTTCTGTAAATATTATGGCTCTGATAGCAGTTGTTTCTGTGTGTTGGGAAAGCTAATAAAACCATCTGGCAGGCAGAGCTCAGCCTCCTTGAGCTATAGCGTGTGAAAGCCTTCCCAGCCTCTGTTTCTACCTCTTTTTTTGGGTCTGCCCTGGCAGTTTGCTCCATGGGCTTCTTCATCTGGTGCACAGAATTGCACTTTCCAACAGCCACCAGCCCCTAGCTGGCTGGCGGTCGGTCCTCTGTCCAAGCTGGCACAGTGCTGTCACCCTGGCAGGGTGAAGTTTGGCTGCTGGACTGATGCTGCCAGCTCCATCAGCCAGACTGAGATGGGGTTTTGCTGTCAGACTGTGGCACAGGAGAGCATTAAGCCAGAGGGAGCTGAAAACATCATTTGTGAACCTCACCATCATCTCCCCTGGCTTGGGGGCTTTTGAGGATCAAGGTAGTGAGTGGTTGGTGCTTTAGTATCAGGCACCAAGGTCCAAGAAGAGGGCAGAGGCAGGAAGAGTTGGGAAATCTCCACGCTGGGAAGCAGACAAGGTACAGATCAGGGCCCAGGAGCGTGGCCGTGTTAACCCTGGAGAACAGGAGAACACATGGCATGGGACTTTCTGGACCACATCGATTCAGCATTATAAACTCGTGGGCAGTGTGAGGGGACTGTCACAACTTTAATTTTGAGAACAAGCAAGGCACAGCAAGGGAAGAAACTGTAATCACCAGTGAGTTACATGAAAGACACTCTTATTAAAATAACTTAAATATAAGTTTGAGGTGGGAACCAGCCCTGCCCCTGGAAATCTCATTGAGCGTGGCTGTGTCCTGGGAGACGCACGACTGTCCGCTGCCGGTCCCACTTACCCAACTGGGCAAGGGCTCTGCTCCCGGAGGTGCCAGTCTGCAGCCGTAGGGGTTTAGGCAGCAATTCCCATCACAGGGGTCTCGCCCACCTCTTGGGAATCTGCCCTATCTTCAAAGACCCTCTGAAGAGCGACTTTGACGGATCCCCTGAACCTGGACTTTCCGCAGCTCCCAACTAGGACGTAAATAACCGGATTGATGCTGCTGTTGACAGAGGCCAGCAACAGGCAGATCTCAAAGACAAAATTAATGTAGACAAAGAAGTTGAGGAAGATCTGGACGCTGAGCGGGATGCCGAAGAGGAGGAAGAAGAAAACAGTGAGGAAGATGACAGTGTACAACCTCGCCGGGTGGTGTTGCCAAGAGCTACGCTTAAGCTTGATGAAGAGGATCACGTTGGAAAGAACCATAAAGGGAGTGAAAAAGCAGAAGTTGAGGAAGCACAAGGTTCCAAGAACCGTCCAGCAGTGTTCAGAGTGTCCCAGGTCACACACAAAGTACACCAGCCCAGCAAGGACACAGGCGAGGGCCCACAGCAGGCTGCACGCAATGGCCGACAGGAATTTCGGGCGGTAGCATCGGCACCAGAAGGGCCAGAGGACACCCACACACCTCTCCACGCTGATGGCCGTGAGGAGGTAGAGGCTGGTGCTGTATGTGAGCAGAACCATGGAGTGAAATAGCGGCAGCACCCGCAAAAGCTCTGGCTGAAAGCAGCTGAGCATGGGCATATGATATATTACAAGGAAAGTCGATGTGCAGAGGAGAAAGCAAGTGTCAGCCACGGCCAGGTTCAGGAGGTAGGCGGTGAAGGGGTTCCTCCTGATGCGAAAACCGAGGAGCCAGAGGATGGCCCCGTTCCCCACCAGCCCACACAGGCAGATGAGCAGCATGATGCCACCGGTGATGATTTCAGGGATGTGTTCTGCAAAGCACCTGGTCCCATTGTGTCCGTCCCCATAGACCATGCTCTCCAGAGGCGCTGGGGACACTGTACGGATTGTGTTGTTGGGATGTCGATCCATCTTCCTCCTTTCTCTCTTGTGCTCACCTGAGGAAAGACAAGAGATAAAGGCAAAATTAGTGACTCTCAGGTCCTCAGTACTGTGAATGTCCTGTGGTCATTCAGTCTTCCCCCCCTCCTCCACAGGCTACATCTGCAACCCAGAAAACATAAGAACTGGACGGAGAAAAAAAGAGGGGAAGGGAAGGGAAGGGAAGGGATAAGGATGGGGATAGGGATAGGGATAGGGATAGGGATAGGGATAAGGGTAGGGGTAGAGGTAGGGATAGGGATGGGGATAGGGATGGGGATAGGGATAGGGATAGGGATGGGGATAGGGATGGGGATAGGGATAGGGGTAGGGATAGGGATAGGGATAGGGGGGGAAATCTTGCACCCAGTGTGGCAGGAGACAGACAGAGAGCTGGAAGAGGAGTGGAGGGAGAAAGAAAAGGCACACAGAGCCATTTGCCCTGAAAAGGGCTAGGGAGGTGAATGGGAAGAATGGAAAGACCGAGGAAGAGCAGAGCAGCGTGCCCCAGGAACAGAAGTGGAGGCAAGCCCCAGACCCCTCTCACCAAGCACAGGGTGGTCCAGTGAGGGCAAAGTCCTTGCACAGCCTTGGTATCCCAGAAATGCAAATTCCAGTGCTCGCTGTCAGACTTGCACATGAAATTTTACAAAGCTGCCGTGCCAAAATTCTCCCAGATGAGATCTGGCCTCCAGGAACAAGGTAACTCCATGATGAGGTTCCTCCGACAGTCTCCGTGTGGGTCTCGGCACCCTGTCTCTTCCTCAGCTGGAGGCAAAAATGGGCCCTGGGACCACGGTCCTGGGTTTCTGCTCAGGGGTGGGTGGCTGCGGGCACGCAGGCGTTCCAGGGCTTGGTCATCGCTTCCGAAAGCGGCGGAAGCCACTTGCCAAAGAGTCACCCTCACGGGATGAGTGTTGCAGACCCATCTGTGGGTTGCTTCAAATGCTTCCTGTTCCCAAACCCGCCATTGTGTTGAGCACTAAATTATCGTCTTCCTTCTTGTTCGCTTCTTCTCTTCTGTGCCCAGCTGCAACGGCCCCGAGACATGTCGCAGTTCCCATCTCTGTGAACGCCTCCTCTTTGCTGTCACACAAAAGCCACCAGCTCCCCATCAACCCAGGGAAATGATGCCGGGACTCGGCGCCCGCTGGCTGTCGCTACCCGGCTTGCAAGAGCGGAGCTGGACGCCTCCATCACCCCGTGCCCTGGGGAGGGCAAGAGGGAAGCGGGACGACGTGACGCACCCAGCCGCCGCGTCCCGATGACAGCACGGAGCGCCGGACCTGCCCTGCTCTGGCGCTGCTCTGTGCCCCGTCCTCACGTCTCACCCTGCTGAGGTTGCAGGGACGTGGGGGGAGTCCTCGGAGGGGACCGTTGCTCACGAGCAATGTCTGCAGGGCAGGAGCCTTCTCGTGGCAGCAGCTCCATCCCTTTGCCCTGCTCTGAGCATCGCTTTCGGGACCAGGGAGATCTGTCCCACTTCCTCGTCTGCTGGACAGCAAATCTAATTAAATAGCTCAGAAGAAATCATTGGAGACACCCAGAGCAAGGGGAAGCAAATGCAAATGGCTGGGAGAGCATCCCGCAGAGCCCCGGGCTGCGGTCCTGCCTGCGGCTCCATCCTAAAGCCTGCCTGGCTGCAGGCAGAGGAGGGGGGGATGCGGCATTCTGGTGGGGCACTCTGCTCCCCCCGCAACTCTGATCAAGTGGAAAATGAAATACTCCTGACATTAGTTTAACAGTCCTGACTTGGCATGAAACCCAGACTCCTCCAAATTCCTTAATAAGTACCGTTTATTTAAATGATAATGAAACTGGACCGAAGGAGAGCTTCAATGCATGAATCCGCCCCGTCCGGCCCCGGCTCTTCAGCATCTCCAAAGCCCACGAGCTGGTTTTGAGAGCGACTTCAACTTCCCCGGGGATCGTGGGCTCCCTGCACCACCGGGAAAGGGGCCGCACCGAGGCACTTCTTTTTATATTTAAAGGAAGGGTTCAGCAGAAAATGAGATTAAAGGAGGGAGTAATAGGACCTGTAAGCAGGACTGTGAGGTCCCAGCCAAGCATAAGGCAGAGGCTGCTGAGGGATGGTTCCTCCTGGTGGCTCGCTCTTAGCCGGTGGAGAAGTGCAGCTGGCAGCTATTTGGCTACGTTTCCCAAATGTTTGTAAATCATGTTCAATGTTTATTAAATGTTAAATGACGTTAATGTGATAAATAAATAGCAAATAGTAAATTATAAATACTGCTAACAGTAAATAGTAAATAATAAAGTGTTGATGGCAGATAATAAACAGTAAATAGTAAACTGGTGAATAAAAAGTAAATAATAATGATAAACAATAACAATTAGTAAGTAACAAATATTAAATAGCAAATAACAAATACATACAAATAATAGATAAATTAACCTGTAAAGAAATAACAATAACAGTAGTTGTTGTTATTATTAACGTGATAAACAATGTTGACAGCTGCTGCTTGGGGAAGCTCCCTCCTGCCGGGCGGGCAGGGGTGTGCACGAGGCCGGGGACATGGTTCCTGACCCAGGGGTCCTGCGCACCCGAGGACAACGAGCACAGTGACATTGATGTTTATTGGACTGGGCGCCCATTTATTTCACCTTGTGGCAGCCACTTAGGCATCAAAATCTCCCATTCTTCATCAGGCTGGCAGTTAATAACTCCCACTGGTGACAGCCGTGCTGGGGACAAGGGTGACAAGTTCCCTCACATCGATGTCCCTAAAGGCACCTTTCGGCATCATTTTAAATGTTTCAGTTTCTTCTCTCTATGGTAAAAATGGGGAGAAAGGGGCAATATTAAGAAACAAACTCACAGTCTTTAATTAAACCTGGAGTTTTGCCTGCTCCGAAGTCACACAGTGCTCAGAAATAACCCCCGTGGCAGACCCAGGAGTGAGCTCTTTTTACAAACACCAGGGTTTTGCCTGGTTGCTGTCACAGGGAACCGACGCGTTTCTTTTGGGCTGGGTTTCACCGGACAGCACGGGCTACCGCCTCACAGCATCTCTTCTGCACATCACCCTTTCATTCCCAGAACCACCGTGGAAAAGACTTGATCAACTTTTCCCTGGAGTACTCTCTGATTTGCTTTGTATCCCCTTTTAGATCACTATGATCCCAGGAAAAAAACAAAAACAGCAGAAAGCAGAGTTTACCATCTCTGCCATATCCAGGGCCAGCTGGACAAAATACCAAACCACAGGAACATATGTGTGAACTGAACTTAATTAATCGGCATTCCTCTGCCTGCAGTTCACGCTCCGCTGTTGGGGAGGGTTTGAGCAAAAGGACTTATTTCCCAGCAGAAACATCTTACAACCCACGCAGCAATCAAAGAGAACCCATACAATTATAAGGCTTTAGAACAAAATTATAAACAATTCTAAGAGGGTAGTAACAAAAATATATGATTGATAACAAAGGGCAATCCTTTCACCCAGGATTGTTTAAATAGCCTAAGAAAAATTCAAGTATCTTAGTGATGAGCTTCCAAGTGTCCCAGTGAATAATGATGCTCCCGAAGCTCACAATAATTACTGCTGCCGTCGCCAGGTCTCCCTGCCTTTGCCCCAGATGTCCTTCCAACCACAAGTCCTTTGGGCCGGCTTGCTCCAAATTCCCCCTCCGCACACTCCCAGCATCTGCTCTGGCCGTGGAGGAATGGGCAGGGTGTCCCGGCGTGGCATCCTTCGGGAAGCCCCTGCCTGCCAGAGAAATGCGCTGGGATGGCTGGGAACAGTCACCCGCTGCAGGACCCTGGGCGATAACACCCTGCCAGCTCCGAACCAGCGCTGCTGCCAGGCTTCTCCTTCAGTCCCTGCAAAAAGCAACCCAAAGGTAGCTTGATCTTGCTAAAGCGATCTTAGGATTAGCTAAAATTGTCCCGCCCTGGCAGTAACAGGCTGTGTTAAATGCAATGTAGCTGCACTGCAGCTCCGTCTCCCCGTTGCTCCCAAAGCTTCTGTTCAGTCGGATCTCCACGGGCCGGAGGGAAAGCATGACCCTGTACTTTCTTAATCCAGCTTCGGCCAGCGTGAATCAGCGTGGGTCTGCGGAATGGTACCTCCCAGCTTCTGCGGCTGCAGGGTGTGCTTCACCATCCATCCTCCTCCTCCTCCCGAGAAGGCAGAGCCCGCAGGGACTGGAGCTGTGCCCCGCTCCAGATGAGACCCATCTCAGCATCCATAGCCGTGAACGGCATGACAGCATCCCAACAGCTCTCACTACCCAGGTGTTTTTTCTCAGTGCAACTTGTCCAAATACGGTTCTGCTTTTATTTTGGCTTTCCCCAGGGTATGAATCTTGCAGGGGTGACCATGTGAAGCCTCTGCCCTGAGGAGCTCCCAGCGCTGGGCACCAATTGGTGGAAGCAGCTGGGGAGATGTGAGCTGTGCCGGCATTCGGGGGCTGAGAAAACCCTGGTGTGCGCTTCTGAAGTCCATTTGCAGAGATGTAGCACAAATCGATTTCAGCAAAAGGCTGAAAACATTTCTGTGCAATCGAGGGGTGATGCTGCCTGCTTTTAAGGCCTGTTTTCTTACGATAAAAATAGACATCTGGAGGAAAACTCTATGTCAGCTGCAAAATCTTACCAATCAGTGTTAATAAGCCATCTCCGCCCCTGCAAGCACCAATGTCTGCACTTGTAGGAGAGAAGGTGCCTACCGATATGAGAGCGATCGGGAAGCTCCTGGATGACTCTTCCCCTGAGTTTTTTTTAATTAATAATACTTTGTAGTTCGCATGCATGGCATGGCCTTGATTGAAAAGAAACGGCACAGATCCTTAAGCATTTGCACACAGAGAAAAGGAAAATCGAAAACCACTAAGTCACAAGGGAGCCGTTCCCTCAAGCTCAGAGGACGTAACGCTGGCTATTAAGAATTGACTTGAATTGCACAAAATGAGAGGATTCGTTGTTTTGTGTAAAGGATTGTTCCCTGAGATGTAAGAGCATGTTAAACACAGTCGCAGGTTATGATATTCAGATTTAATTTTGCTGCCTTTTGTAAACTTTGTAAAAGGCTAGTTACAGTACGTGCCCTTCCACACTAGGCTGTCTTTATGACAAGAAGTTTATGACGAGGAGAATTCCCCTTTCTGAAAGAAGTGGCCGTGAGGATCGTGCAGAGCCCAGCGACCTCTCGCCGGAGCTGTCCCGTCTTCAGATGAATCATCCCTCCCACCCCCAGCAGCGATGGTGTAGGTCGTGGGGCTGATGACTGTGCCATTTCAGTGGAAGAGGTTAAATGGGTACAAGATAAAATCCATTTCTTCTCTTCCCTATAACAAAAGAAGAACAAGCCCCCCACCCCCCAAAAAAATCAAGAAGGAGGAAAGGGTGATGCACAGCAGCACTGCTGCACGGGGCTCCTCCACCTGTGACTTGGGAAGGTTTGGGGTTTTTGAAGTTTATTTAGAAAAATCCTTTATTGTAAAAAAGAACCTACAGAGAATGCCAACACACCAAAGATTCAGCCTAACCAGATTCTCACTTCATATGCGCTTTATCAGGTAAACGAAGACACTCAGCAAAAAAAACAAAAGGCAGAAAACAGCTTCCTATCATCCCCAGACTAATGTCTCCATCTGCTTCACTAAACCTCATTGGAATAAAATGGCCATTTCTTTATGAACTCTGTGTGCTGATTTGAAAAGACAGTGATGTTTTCAGCTGCCCTCCCTGTGTGTAGCAGGGAATTCCCAGTCTCCTGCCAGTTGCAATATATTTATCTATATTTCCCAGCTGAGTGGCTGGAGGGAGGTGAATGGAAGCACTGATGAGCTGAAAGTGGGTTGAGGTTAGCTCGGTTGCAGCCAGTTTGCCCAGGTAATTAGTGGCCAGGGAATAGAGGGCTTCCTCCCCACTCCCGCAGGTCGGTATTGTCAAGCACTCCAGTGGAACTCATAGTTACTCAGAATGCTATATTTAGCCTTAAAAACAAAGCAAACAAACAGACAAAACCTCAGAAAAGAACCTTGAAGTCAGCACACAATGATCTCTTTGGGAGCAAACATAAATTCTAAGAAATCAGATGTATGTGCACACAACAATTTGGTAAGACAGCTGGAATAGTTCATTTCTGGATGCTTAAGATACCTGAAGAATGAGTGGGAGGTTTCATTCACAAATCCTCTGGACGCTGCTGAGGCACAGTACTACAGACACACCGTGTGTGTGCCTGCTCCCAGGCTGTCCCTGTCCATCCCACTCCAAGTCCGAAGCCCAGGAATGCCGCAGTAAAGATGCTCTTTCCCTTCTTACTCTGCAAACTGGAAAGCAGCCCCGTCAAAGCCTAATGGAGGTGGCTGCAGGGACCACGGTGGTTTTGCCCACCTTCAGGAAGCTGGGATGCGGCTGATGAATTTAGCTGGGGGATGCAGGCGGAGAAGGGATTGGGGAGAATCCCGCAGCTCCCGCCAGAATCCCTGGGGCTCGGGGCTCAGCGATGGGCTCTGCCCGTGCACCTTGGTCCGGCTTCTCACACGAAACGCGGCTGACAGGGTCTGCTTTCGTAATACAGCCCCCGCTGAAGGGGCTTTGATATGAAGTGACTTTGATATGAAGTGACTTTGATACAAAACCCTTGGAAACGACTCTGCCCTTACCGAAAGTGCTAAAACTGGAATTGTTAATGGGCTAAATCCAGTGTCTTTGAGAGTCAATTTTAAGCATTCGCAGAATGTTTTAGAGCAGCTGAAGGCTACTGCAGCAAAGAACCAGGTAGTCAGCCAGGAGAGAAGCCAAAAGTGCCTCCAGTTGCAAGGGCACTGTGGCACTCCTCGTGGCAACGGATCCCTCCGGAGAAACTCTTCCACAGCCGAGGCAACTGCAAGCCTCACTTTCCAGCCCACCGTTGTCATTTTAATCATCACGCCAAGGTTGTTAATTGCGCAAAACACATCGGCTATAACATTAAGCCCTCTGCAGGCCGTGCAGTGGCTGCGAGGAGCTCGGCGTCCCCGTGGACCTCCTGGGGACGGTGTGGCCAGACCAGGCATGGGGGGGCAAGTGCCTCCAAGGACATGCTCTGCTCGGCCCGGAGCAGGAGCCGTGAGCCACAGGAGGCTTTAACAACATCCAGGCCAATCTCAGGAGCCACAGCCCCGGGGTGTGTGGGCTACAAAAGGGGTGGGAGCATGTGAAAACAACCACAAGTGTTCCCAAGACTGAGGAGGAGGAGGATGTGCCGCTGGTGAAGTGCCAGGAGGGCTGCAGCTCACTGTAACGGCACCCCAAAAGCTGGGCTCTAATAGCTTTCATTGCATTACTAAGGGGTATTGGCAATAATTAATCTGGGCTGTAAGTGCTAGTATCATTGTAACCTGGCTGAAAACAACTGTTTGTTGTCCTTCAACTGGGCTGCCAAAGCCTGCTTTAGACTGACAAGAAATGCTAATTCTTGGCTCCGGTTTGAAGGTGTGCTCCCTCGGGTGCAGGGGAGGTTTTGGCGATGATCACCGTCCTCTTCCCAGAAGGGGAGTTGCTTCTTAGAAGCACCCAGCTGCCCCAGCAGCACTGCCAGCACCACCGGCACCGCCAGCATCACCGGCACCATCAGCATCGCCGGCACCATCAGCATCGCCAGCATCGCGCTCCGCTGCTGGAGGGGCAATGCCCCCCCAGGGGTTCTGAGGTCCGGGGAGCCCTGCAACAGGCAAGGGAGAAATAAAGAATGGCAGAACCCTGCCAGGAGAGGGAAGGCAGCCAGTGAGCAGGGCGTTATCTGGGGCGGAGTGTTTCTAATCAGAAGTAAACCCATTCACAAAGTTCTGCTTGCGGAGTTTCTGGCAATAGCCACTTCCTTTGTGGCAAAAAAAAGAGCAAGATAAATAAAAACAAGGAAGCGGAGCTCTGACGTAGCTGCAGTTACAAAACCATTCCCGACTCCCCCTCAATCCCACTGCAGCTGGTGGGGGCAGCGCCGGCACTGCCGAGGGGTGCACCAGGGACAGGGCACGGAGGGGAGCCGGTGGGACAAGTGCAGGGACCTCGTGGTGACTAGGAGATATTTTTCTTCATGCAACCATCCTGGGAGGATCTGCTTCAGGATATGGATCCAAAAGGAGCGTGAGATGCCAAGACACTGACGCTGATCAGCCCGAGCCCAGCTGGAAAGACAGCCCTTGCCTGCTGCTTCACCAAAGCTAACAGTTAAGCGCGATGTTTTCCTTCGTACCTACCCCCCACTTTCCTTTCCTCCAACATCCACTGCCAGCAGCTACATCCCTCCCACCCTCTCCCGATGACCAGCAGCGCTCTCCCCATGTCCTCTCCCCACTGCCCTGCACTTGCCTTTTGCTTCTGATGGTGAACCTCCCTCTCCCTCCCCTCCTGTCTCCCTCTCCCACCCCACAATGTCCACCACTCCCCTCCCCAGCACGTCCCGCTTGCCCTCCAGTGATGCCTTCGCGGTGCAGGGAGCTGGCAAGGGGCCGCAGGGCTCAGCCCTGGCTTCTCCATCCACTAACTCCCCGTCCGTTCTGACCGCAGCCAGGAACCACATCCCGCTACCTGCCCAGTGTCCATCCATGGAGATGAACAACATGGTCCCACCTAGCGCATCACCCACGCCAACCAGCGACGAAGACCCGTGCAGGATAGATGTCACCGATGCGGCCGTAGACATGGTCACGCTGCTCATCTGCCTCTGCGGGCTGGTGGGGAACGGGGCCGTCCTCTGGTTCCTCGGCTTCCGCATCCGCAGGAATCCCATCACCGTCTACATCCTCAACCTGGCCGTCGCCGACTTCACCTTCCTCCTCTTCATGGTCACCTCATCCCTCCTCTACATGATGGAGAATGTCTTCTGCTCCGCTGTTGTGTCCTTGATGTACCTGAGGTCGCTTTTCCTGCTCTCGCTCTTCTCCTACAACATGGGCCTGTACCTCCTGACGGCCATCAGCATCGAGAGGTGCGTGTCCATCCTCTGCCCGCTCTGGTACCGCTGCCGCCGCCCCCAGCGCTTGTCGACCGTGGCGTGTGCCCTGCTCTGGGCCCTCTCCATCGCTGTCATTGCTGCAGTGACTTCTCTCTGCCTGTTGCACGAGCATGAGCACTGCCGGCTGGCTCTCATCTCCATGTACGTCCTCAACTTCCTTATTTTTGCCCCACCTATGGTCGTTTGCAGCACAATCCTCTTCATTAAGGTCCAGTGTGGCTCCCAGCAGCGCCAACCTCCAAGGCTCTACATCGTTATCTTCCTCACCGTCCTCTTCTTCCTCCTCCTCGCTCTTCCCCTCAGCATCTGGAATTTCCTGCAGCAGTTCAGCTACACTGTCGTGCTCTCTCAGGTTGTGTTCCTGCTCGCCTGCATCAACAGCAGCATCAAACCCTTCATCTATTTCTTGGTGGGGAGCTGCCGGAGGCACTGCTCCTTGGTGTCCCTCCAGGTCACCTTCCGGAAGGTCTTTGAGGAGCCAGAAGACAACACTGCATGCAGCAACGATACTACGATGGATACGCTGGCCCCAGCCTGTTGAATCCTTTCCACCACCCTACTTAAGGCCCCCGGGACAGTGGCTGAGGATTTCCTTGAGTAACCAGATGACTAACCATCAGCAGTATTTCCCCGATGTCACCCTCTCGCGGTGCAATCCTGCCCCCTGCAGAAGGGGAGAGCAGCGGCCTCGCCAAGGTCCGTGTGGGGAGGGATGCTCTGCGGGGAGCGCGTTGGAGCACCGCTTTCCTCCTCCCTGCCAGCCCACCCCAGTCCCTAGGGCACTATTCCCCCAAGCACAACATGCCCCAGAGGACCACGTTCCCAAAAATCCCCTGCTGCTTTTTGGGATGAGCGTTGCCTTTGGGAAACTCTGACCCACGTACAGAGCGGGGGTAAAACCCATTCAGTGTCTTAAGCCCCTCTCCCTATCCAGCATCCCAGCCTGCGCAGCCTCTCTGAGCTCTGCTCCGCTCCCACCTCCTGCAATGCCAGCGGGGGGGGGAACCGCTGCCCCTCGCCAGGCTCTGCCAAGGCCCCGGCACCCTCCCACCGGTACCCGGTTCCTCTATCTCACTGCTGCCTGATATCAATAAACAGCATCGTGCACCCTGAGCTGCCCTCGGTCCGTGTGCCAGCGCTTGCTGGCTTCGTCTGGGTCCTGCTGCTGGCCAGGGGTGCGGGTGGAGGGAGGGGAGATGGACACACGGCTGGTGGTCTCCGGAGCAAAAATGATGCCAACTGCCCGCAGCTGGGACCGCGCCAGCACACCCGATGCAGGCAGGATGGGCCCGGGGCTACGGCAGTGCCCCCAGACTGTTTTATTAGTGTCACAGCAAATACCTCCCCAAATTATTTTTTTTTTTAATTTTGTGAGCCAGGTGTAAGTGTAAAGGACTCTTTCTCCTGAAATTCTTCTTCTCCCCTGGCTTCAGCAGGCTGGAGCATTTCTCCTTCAGCAGGCCGGGATGGTGCAGCAGCAAGAGGAGGAGTCGTCTGCGGTCCCCAGCCTGGCCACCACCTTCCAGGAGCAAGTTGTCACATCTGTTGGTCACCACAGGCTCCACGGGGCATCACTTGCCTCCCTATGGCTTTGCCAAGGTCTCAGCCGGTCACCGTCACAGCAGCGGGGAGAGCCGTGGGTGTGCAGAAAGACGGTGCCGGAGCCGGCAGTGGTGCGTCGGACACCTCCGGACCAAGCACCATCGCACGGGCCTCAGTTTCCCCCAGTACCGTCGCGGGGGAAGGGACGTTGCCCATCCTCGGGCTGCACCGGGGACACGCTGAGCTGCTCGGTACAGCTGCCCCCCCCGCACTGCCCCACAGGCACATCTGGGGCTGGTGCTCCTCCTGTCCTGATGAGTGTGACCCCCACCACCCCC